GAGCTCCTTTGATTCTCTCTGCTTCTGCTGGAAGATCAGAGAGAACTTCAAAGAAGACTCAAGCATCCTCGACAAAGCCCGAGGTCCAGTGACCAAATCGCTCAAGAGCTGCTTCACGGGCGCGTCGACGTTTGCCCAAAAGCCGCGCTGCACAGAGCGAAACCGATGAGGGCGATCTCTCGTGATCAACAGCATGTTGGGGAACAACGGAGACTCTGCTGACTGTGGCGCTGAGGGGCTGGTGTCAAAAAGAACCCTCTGCTCCACTGGCCCGCCGTCTGCAGTTGCCGAGATGATGGAGTGGCGGAAGTGCTCAAAGAGCTCCTGGGCAATCTCAAGGAAGAACCAAGTCGACAGGAGCATTAATTAGGAAATACTCCAAACGAGCCCGGCCGACCCCTGAAATAAAAGAAATTTTAGCAAACCTTCAACGATGACACATACAAGATGTCCTCATCGAACTCATCATCTGCATGTCTGTAGATCTTGTCGCAGTCTCCCCGGTAGCCGACAGGAATGGTGCAGAGATCTTTGATCATCTGTCTCAAAGCGGATGCAACGGACGGAATGTCACCCACAGTGTTTCCTGCGATGCCACCCAGAAAATCATACAGACCTTCTGGCACAAGGACCCTCACGTACAGGAGCATGCTGTCGCCCGTCTTGTCGATGCTGATACTGCTAGCTATGGCCTTCCGCAATACCTTGCGGTCCGTCTCCACCAGAGCTTGAGACATGCAATAAATGAGATTGCGAGCCATCTTGGGCCCGCTGTCACCACCCGGCTCCAGGCTTGATCCAACAGATTGGGATTCCACCATCGACGTAAACTGCGAGTAAGCACTGCACTGTTTCACGAGTTGCAATGCCTGTATCCACCTGTCTAGGCGAGGTAAAGAATCGGCTGATAGCCCTGATACACAGCCTTCGATGCATTCCAGGCCTGCCTCTTCTGTGTCATCAACACCAGCAACTACAGGAGGACCAACAGCGGCCGCCCTCATGAGTTCCAATGCTTTGGCATGCATGCCACAAGTCTCATGACCTCTCAAGTTGCAAATCTGTAAAGCATTTCTCGAGGACACTTCCAGCCGGGCAAAATTGCACTTGAGCTGAGCACTGTGGCAAACGTAGCAGCCAACGCCAAAAGTGGTTTCGTCGTCCCAGCATCCAGGTTTTGTGATCAAGTAACTATGTTTCTTCTTTGACACCGGATGAATAAAAGTGCATTTCTGCATCCAGGCCAGATCTGCACATGGGTCTCCCAAGTCCAGGCACTTCTTGCGCAATCTTCCCAGGTATCCTGCCACGCAGGCTAAAGTCTAAAACCTTTGATACTAGGGCGAAGGATCACCAATTCATTAAACGAATGCCCCGATGTCGGGAAGCACCAGTATCCCCAGGGGAAGATAAGAACCCTGAATCACAAGTTTAACAAACCCGGTTGATGTGCTGCTGTGGCAGCTCGGGCCTGCAGCGAAAAAGCACCGCACACAGTTGGCATGGCCACGCTGGCATCTCAAGAGATGATGGCGGCACAGCCGGCTGGTCTCACTCCAAGGAGCATCCTCTGTATCCATTGTGTGAAACGTTGGCGAGAGCACAATTAGAGGAATACTATGTGCGGCTTACAGCATTCTTGGATTGACTGCCATTGCATGCATGTCTCGATGATCCATGCATGTCTCCATGATCCGAATCCTGTGCGGGGAATGCCTAAGCCCTGCCGAATGAAACAGTATTGGAAAGACAGCCCTCAGCCCTGCTGTCGAAGGGACGGACGGGCAAGCAGGAGTTAGTCCGAGACCGATGATGAACCCCAAATCCCAAACCCTACCGAATCGCGCAGGCTAGGATCAGGTTCAACCCTTAACCCTTAAGTACGACCCTCGGAGATGAAGCAGCAGCCGAATCGCACAAGCTAGCTTCCGAATGTGATTCCCGATTTGGACTCGCACACTCACACAAAGCAGGCACGGCTTGATTCCCGATTTAGGGTTGGAGGGTTCAGAAATTAGGGTTGAGGGTTGCAAATAAGCACGACAAATGGCACCGGGCACATGCTCAGCACGCTGTCGTCGAAAGCTTCGAGCTGCAGCCTGAGCATGAAAAGCAGGAGGGCCGACCCTAACCTCCAAACCCAACCGACCTAACGCCACCGACACGAACACCACCAAGCTATACCCCAAACCTAAACCAAGCCCTTCAAACCACGCGGACAAGAAAAGGCAGGGGTTGGGACGACAAACCCCCTAAACTCCTAAACCCAGCAATGCGAGAGCTGGGACTCCGAGCCGTCGAATGCACCGGGCCTGAGCGAGATGAACATGAGTTACTCTGCTCAAACAGAAATATGTATGAAATCACAGAGCAATAGCCTCCGGTATAGCTGACACATCTACCAGTGTATATGGCGCTCTAATCATAATGCCCATAATGATGATACTAGGAGACTATACCCACCGGTGTGCCTTCTATACTGACAGGCTGCAGGCATGACTTCAGTATAGAATCGCAGCCAACCGGTATACAAGGGACCTAGCCGAATTCGCCTACTTTGAACTGGGTCGGTACCATTGCTCATCAGCTGCACAGTCATACTCCAGGTATTTATTAAGGTTTAGGGTTTAATTGTGTTTACCAATTTGGGATTTATGTTCTCGCAACTGGGACAAGCCTCAGTTTGGGATCTAGGGTTTAGGATCCAGGCTTAAGGGCTTAAACTTTCTGTTTATGTTTAGGGTCTCTGGGGCTGGCTTGGATCAGACAGACGAATACTGCTCAGAAAGACCCGCATCGATATCCCACCCCCCTCACAGCAAGAGTGAAATTCAGAACAAGTTGCTTAAGTTTGAAATCCCAGACCTGAACCCCAAACCAAGAACCGGCTAATATCCATTATGAGTCTATTATCCATAGAATATTGCCACCAATCAGCGCTTTAACCAGTTGGGTGCCAACTGAGCTCATGGAAAATTCTGTGCCAAAGGGCAATCCCAACCACATGTCACAAAGAACCAACGGCGGACCTCCTACATCCAAGTCTTAAGCTGCACAATCTCGGCACGACAAGGCCCAGGCATCTCCATAGCTGCCATAGCAGCATGCCCAATGTAGCCGGTGTTGCGACCTCAATGCAATCAACTCGCCCGAAGGATCAGACTACACACCATGACGCTGCATCCCGAATCATTGCACTAAACGACAACCTACCAGCGGCTGCAACGGCAAGCTGAGGATAGCACGAAAGCCAAATGATCGCAGAAGAAAGCGTCCTCACGGCAAAGGAAATCAATCGGTGCACAACCAGGGCAGTGAGGAAGCACAGGCAACGACGACAAATATTGCTTTTTTCATCTGCCGCCACTGCCAAGGCAACCAGGTGAGACTCCAAGAGGCCCTTGAAGCAGCTGCCACAGCAGTGTTGAAATAATATGCACTATAGTGACTCTAAGGTGCTGCTATGCTATTAATCAACGCCCCCGCCGCTGCCGCTTCTTGGCCTCTACGTATACCCTCACGGCTTCATCCTCCGCCTCCCGCCGCGCCCGCTCCTGGAGCCGCCACTGTTCAGCCGCAACCCGCATCTCGGCTTCCTGAGATGTTGGTCATTGGGCTGAATAGTTTATAAATTCAGTTGTGTACGAGAGCCTCAAAGGATGTTCTTATAGTCTTGATGAATCCAGTCCAAGGCTCGAAGGCAGAAAAAGGAGCCGTCCGACCAGTCTGCGGACTGTACCAAAAGTATCTCTCCTCATCCGGACCCTCCTGCAGATATCGTGACCACAGCTGATATGGGAACGCAGCCTCTTCGCCCGGCAATGGTGTCCGCGAGATTCTGTGCATCAGCACTGGGCGACGTGTCGTACTGACCTGGCCTTCAGGATTGACATAATACTCCGTTCCAGACGCTGACCGAACGTAGAACCAACCGCCAGACAGCTCAACCTGGTCCACCACATTGGGAATGGGATATATGCGCATGCTGTTGTCCTCAGCCCAGGGCATTGTCATAAGAGAACCCACTTCAACTGAACATGCCTCAAAGCATCATAATTAAAAGCTCGATGCAGCTTGAGCCCAAGTCTCATTCCCAGCCACCACCGCGGCTTCGGCCGGCACCGCGGCTTCGGCCGGCGCCGCGGCTTCGGCCGGCCCCGGCACCGCCGGGACATCAGCATCGCCACTGCTCGAACTCGAGAGAGCACCAGGGCTCACTGGCTGCGCAGGTGCCGCCGCCTCCGGTGCCTCTGCCTCGTTGACCGCCTCAATCAGGGAAGCAAGATGCGAGTAAGTATGTTACTACTGGGTTCGGTGTTAGGGCTGCTAGGGCACTACAGGGTCCGAAATTGAACTTCCATGAACAAACCTGGGCGAAGGCATAGGCCATATGCAAAGCAGCAGCGACAGCTGCATCTGCAGGCGGCCGAGGTGGTACCACCTTTGAAGTTTGGAGTTTATGATTTGGTGCTTGACTTGCGGTAAAGAACAATTACTAGTGTCACTTATCCAACAAAAGGAACTAATCAAATGGTTCCAAGCAGCAGCAGCCGGGGCCGCCTGTCTGTAATTTCCAACCATTACTGTATTATACACACTAAATTAAACTAGGCCCCAACTCTCACCTGCCCTACACAACCCCGTGCCTTCGGCTTGGCCAGCGCCCTGTGGCGGTTGTGCCCGCCGCGACGACCCTGATGATAGAGGTCTCTCCAGTGCCCATAGCCCATGGCAGCGAAGAGTCAACAGGCAAGTCGCACAGCTCAAAAGTTCGGCAATTAGGAGATGTGATTCGTTATTAGAGGACGAGGAAGTTGAAGCCTCACTTGAAGGCTACGGCCACCACCCCTGAAACCCTTGAGCACACCTGGGACCCTCAACCCTGCACACCTAACTTGAACCCTCAACACCCTGAACACAATATGCACAAACCCCACCACAATCTAACCAAGGTGGCAGTCTCGGGCCAATAACCAAGTCACCGGCATAGACGCTAGACCCTACGGCTGAAGCTGCATGCCACTGCAAATCAAGTGCAATCCATCAGTCCTCCGAAACTGCATGACGTCGGAGCCAGCGGAGTCGAAGCCATGGTTCGGACCTGAGCGGAGTCGCTGTGTCTCGGCGACGGGTTGGGGCTTTGGCTTGTCAAGGTGGTCGCCTGCTGTGTGCTGAAGGAACCCTGTTTATGAAGTATTGCTCATCGCTAGGTTGAGTTTTGGCTTTGAATCGGCTTGGGATCTCAAGGGCTCACTTAAGTATTACCCAGGACCCACAGCAACCCCTTAGGTAAACTTAATAATAATTAACCCTACATAGTGACAGGATGACAACCCCAGCCCAAACCCACCGACGACCTTGATTGACAAACCCGAAGACCTAACTTGCTAACCCTGACCTAACAAACCCCCTTACCCAGAAACCACAACCTAACGCCACGAAGGGCGAAACCACAACCTAACGCCGCGAAGGGCGACTAACGCCGCGAAGGGCGACTAACGCCACGAAGGGCGACTAACGCCGCAAAGGGCGAAACCTTAACGCCGCAAAGGGCGAAACCAACTAACACCCTTTACCCCAGCCCTAGCCGCACTGGGGCGCCCAGCAGGAGATCGCACGGCTCAGCGAACAGGAAGAAGGAGAGCTTAAGGCAGCAAGTAGGGCAGATTCATTCGAGAATTGCTTAACTATGCTAGTGCATATACTATTCAGTTAATAGTTCTGTATATGTATATATATATATATAAGATATATATGTATATACATATGCATGTAGTATGTGCACAGGTAACACCCCAACATAGATTAAAAATGTAAAATTTCACCCAACATCGGTCAAGTTTTTGGGTCCCTATTCTAGTACGGCACCTGTTATTTAGGGTACCCCAAAAAAGGGACCCTAATTTTTACAACCACCCATACTACGAGGAGCAAACCCTAAACCCTTCTGAAAAAAAGAAGGAACCCCCTAGCCTCTCGGAGGTAGAGGAGGGTCCTGCGCTGCAGGGCTTGCGGCTTCGGGTTTAGGGCTTTAAGGGTCCCTTTAAAGAGATCTATAGGGATTCTATAAGGGTATAGGGTTTAGGGCTTATACTTAGAGGTTCATGGGCAGTTAGAAGTGGGGTTATAATATAAGTAGGGTAACTAGATTTAAACATAAAACCCATGTTAGGGGACTTATAACTCCACTTAAAACTACCCATGAACCTCCAAATAGGCCTTGGGGCGTTTGGGGTTTTGGGCTTAGGATTGGGGTTTGGGGTTTAAGGTGAAGGGCTTCGGATTTCGGGCTTATAGGAGCTTATGCGATTTTGGGCTTGGGCTTGGTGTTTCGGGCTTGGGGCTTGGGGCTTGGGTTCAGGGTTATAGGGTGTAGGGACGGATAACCACCCAGGGATCACCCATCCAACATGCTACGCGACCACAGGAAGAAGTTGGAGTGTAACTGCAGATTTTCAGTGTCGTGATCTACCCCAAACCCTGTAAACCCCGAAACCTAAACTCGGGCTGTCCGGGCTCTTCAGCTGCTTGCAAGAGGTCCGGCATGTTGGGCTTTAGGGTTTTGGGCTGAGTTCTCTGGCTAAGGGTTGGTGGAGGCTGCATGGCGGGTTTGCATCGGACTGGCGCACGTATTTCGCCGTATCCCTAAGCATGATGCCGAACGTGCTGCAGTCAGTCCTGTTGTCTGCCACCCATGGGAAGTACTGCGCCCCCTCCTTCGAAGCCCAAAGACACAACGCGGGTGTGGGGCCAAGACTGGGCCAAGGGCGAAGGGTCCAGGATTCTGTAGGCTGTCGGTGCCCTTCACTATTGTTGTATCACAAGTGAGGAGTGCATTGAAGATGATCAAGTGCTTGGAGCTACCTCTTACAAACAAACTGTCCTTAATGAAGGCACCTTAAGCGGAGCCCGTTCCTGAGTCCTGGGAACAGCATGCAAATCCGACCAGAGGGCTTTCTCTCCCTTTCAGGTTGATCCGTGAAAGTAAACAATGACCTGGCGACTGGGCCTTTGCAAGGCTCCTACTTGTACTATACAGTTTTGGCATACCTGATGTCTTGTGCTATGCCGAATTACTTGAGGCCCCTATGTCGCTCCACGGTATTGAAGTATGACAAAAGCGCTTGAATCGAACACCGGCACGCAGACATGAACGAAAGATGCTGCCGGATGAATATCCGCCTCAGCAAATTAAACAGCATGGGGAATTTAGTGACTTCCGTATTCACAGCAAGGTTTCGCCTTTCCAAAAATCTACCTAGCCCTCAGGAGTCCCAAACCACGAAACTCCAATCCTCAACCCCACATCCCGGCTTCCATCGCCTATACCCCCCCGAACCAGGGATCCGAATCCTGGAACACCGGAACTCAAAACTCGATTTGCCTTTAGGCTTTAGGGTTCAGGGGTTCATGGGTTATAGGAACCCTTAAAGGAACCATGATAGGATCCCTTGTAGGATCCCTTTAAAGGGAGTAGGAACCCTAAACCGGTTTTAGGCT